TGAGCGCTCATGGTAAAACATTTATTGCCGGTCGAATTGTATAAAATTTATTAACCGGTGGAGCGGGCGGGCGTGCATCAAATATTCAAAGTCGCTGTGTGCTAAAACATTTTTTTTTTCATTTCGGCGGATAACAAGTAGAAGCAAAAACCAAACGAACGTACGACAGCAGCAGCAGCGAGAAAAAAATACAGCAGAAACCCACAGAGCAACGGAATAACAAACACGAGAAGAAGAACACCACCGAAAAAAAAGAACTAATCAAAAAAGAAACTCTGTTTTGTGTGTGCGAGCAAAATGAAATTAAAACGGAAAACTGGAACGAAACAGTGCTTTTTTTCGCTCTCTCTCTCTCTTTCTCGTACTTTTGTTATTGTTGTTGTTGTGGTGGAGTTTTGGCACTTATTTTGAAATCGATTTTTGTGTGCTTTTTTTTCAAACGCTCGCTCGGTGATTGTCGGTGGTGTGTGCGTGCATTTTTTGGTTCACGGGTGCTGATTTGTTATTTTTTTTTCGTTCCTTAGTGTTTATGCACGGACAGTTTAAGTTTCACTCCGATTGTGTTGTGCATGAATATTTGAGCCAACTATGCAACGACCCTTTTGATAAAGATTGTTTTTTTTTTTGAAAATAAAAAAAAGGATGTATGCGTCCGCTGGAACGAGGATTCGCATATATTTGTATATGCAACTCCGGTTTTGATTGCAACTAAATCCTGGTAAGATTCCAATTCTTCAAACATCAACCCTTTCCAAAAATCTGTTCGCGGCATTCTAATTCCGCATGATTAAAAGTCAACTTCGATGAGAAGAACTTATATTGAAATAAAAGAAAAATTCTCAAAAAATGTTTAATAAAAGGAGAGACGATCGAGAGAAAGCGAAAAATTAGTGAAGAGAAAGACAATAAGGAAAGAGAGGGAAAACGTGGAAATTCTTCGTTGAAGAAAACAGTGGTAATTCCGATTGAAAACACGGCAAATAAAAAGAGCGAAAATTGACATAGAAAAATCGACTTCGATCGACGAATAAATTAAAAAAAAAAAACCATTGACATGGATCAATTTTCATGAGAAAGAATTGATGGTAAAAAATAAACTTGGATAAAATTCGTTATTTTCTAGATGCACCAGAAAAACGAGCGAACGAGGGACAGGGAATATGTGTAAAAAAAAATCGCAAAGAAAAGTTGTTGAAAAAAAAACAATTTCGATTTCAAAAATTCGTCAAAAGTTCTTTGAACCTAAGTCGCTGTGTTCACACCGCACACGAATAGGCCATGCAAAATCTTCATCCATACATCGATTTATCTTGTTTCATCGTTCTTTTCTAAGTCTCTTGACAACGAAAGTCGAGCGCAATTTCATTCGTGTTGTTCTAAAAGTGTACTTCTTGGCAGATGCATTAATCATGCGGATGAAATAGAAAATGAAAAAGACGGCAACCAAAATCCAACCAAACAAATTCGTTCTTGTTGCAATGGCTTGTGTGCAAATGCGCTTAGAATCGTTTGCCAGCTTAAAGAACACCCATTTCGAGTCTAAATTTAGAATGTTTGCATTGTGTAAAACATGAGCTATTTGGTGTGCATGATTTCTTTTCGGCAGCCATATCCATTTTTCATGCGAAGCCAAAGAGCATCGTTGAAAACCGACATGACTTTCAAAGGTTGAGCAGCAGCAGCAGCAGCACCGAAAAAGAATGGAGAAAAGTTTGTCGTCAAGACGGAGAAAAAAAGAGCGAGTTTAAAAAGAAATCACAGCCATTGAACGCTTATCTAATGTTTTCATTGATAAAACGTGCGCGCTTCTGGTCGTGTGTAAGTGTTTTATCATCCAAAGGCGATAATAAATGGAATGACTGCGGAGAAACTCCTATGTTTTATGTCGAGATGCGAATTGGAGGTGTGCGTGTACGATTTGATACCATTTCGGTAAAGCGAACAGGGCTAACTCCCTGCTTCACCATGTTTGCTTTGAGTAGCAAAAGTTTTACGACGCAAAAACAACGAATTTTCAACTAGTTTTCAATGGATTTTAACACATTTGATGTATGGCATCGAGTGAAAGAGAATCACTCGGGATGTCTAATCGTATAATTAAAACAAAGAGTAAACGCTTTGGCGAGAATGCATGAATTATGCGGCTACAAGATGAATGGATTGAATGGATGTCGACAGGAGGAACGAGCAAGAATAAGAGAGAGAGAGAGAGAGAGGCGTTTTAGCTGAGCTCACGAGCGCACACGCTTTCTCTCTCTCTCTCTCTCTCTCTCTCTGGATTCCGACAACTTCGAACACATATTGCACATTTTAAAACAGCATCGAGTCAATAAATTTGATGTATGTAAATTTATAAGTGCGCTCAACTCGATATTATCAACGCGATATATTTCCATTGAGCGCTAGCTAAATAACAACTAAAAATGGGAATGAAGCGACCCCAAACGAAAAGAAGAGAAAAAAAAATAACAAAAAGGAAAAACATTCAACGCAACAGCAACAATAACAACAGACGTCAAAATAGAAAATATCAAAAGGAATGAAAACGAGCAAAAGGCAACAATAAAAACACCGTCGACAAAAGAGAAAGAGTCGATTCGCGAGCACAAAGACTAGCAAGCAGAATAAATATAAACACACAGGATCATGTTTTATGGATTGCATTCATAGAGTAATCGGGTGCGCGAGTTCGCTCGCTCGCTTCGCTCACGAAATTTCGCAAAATGCAACCGAGGTATATATTCTTAAATAGTGTGTTTTGCACATCGTGCGTTCGATTGGAAAGTTCAAACGAACAAACAAACAAACGCGAAAAATAAAATTTAAAATGAAAAAACAACTAGAACGAAAAACAGACCGCGGCGAACGAGGGGGGGGAGAGAGAGAGAGAGAGCGGCTCAAACGAATAACAATGTTTATATGGATTTTATGTCTCATACTATGGGCGAATTGTGAACGATTCATTTTGGTGTGTTGTGTTTGGGCGGTATACGGTGGCGGCGTGAGGGAGGAAAAGAACACGGCGCGTGCAATGAGCGTGAGCGCAAATGCGCGCACTCTGGCGCACACACACACCAAACTACTGAGCACTGAGAGTCATCGAGTTCATTGACTCACTCTTATTCAAATAATTATAAAAAAAACACACAACGAACGCCGAACGACCGAAGCGAATATTCCCTCTATATCCATTCAGTGCAACCACACCAGCATATACACACAATCGCTCTCTCTCTCTCTCTCTCTCGCTCTATGTGCAATCGACAACAACAACAACAACAACGACGGCGGCGGTGGCTGCAACGACAACAACAGGCGAAAATCGCGCGAAAACGCGACAGTATAAATATACTTCGAGCTACGCGCGCGCTCCGTTTGCATTTGCTCTCTTTCTCTTTCACTCTGTCTCTTAATCGCTCGCTCCCTCGCTTTCTCCACATGATGTTGTTCTGTGTGATATATGTGTATTGTTTTGTGCGAATGAATAATATTATTTGTAACATCGCATGAATTGAATGCATTGCAAAATTGCACACACAATGCGACCGACTATTTCATTTCGTTCGTTCATTCTTCTTCTTCTTCTTCTCTGTTGTCGTTGTTGTCGTTGTCGTCGTCGTCGTCGTCGTCGTTTTTGCGTTGGTTCTGTGTTGGCTCTTCATTTTTCTTCTTTTCTATATCTGGCCTGGCCTGGCCTGGCCTGGCCCGTGTATTCGCCTTCCATACAATGACTCCGAGGAGCATTTCTCGCGCTCTCTCCCTCCCTCTAGTTCTCTGTATCCGTCTCTGTTTTATATACTACATAGAGCATTTTGTATTTTGTCTTTTCCATTCCGTTTTTATTTTATAAATAATGTGCAATATGTGCTTGCTCTCGCTTGTCATTCGTCTATACCTATAAATATAAATGATTCTCTGTCGTTATTTTGCGTTCTTCTTTTATTTTCCCTCTATTTTGTGTTACTGTTGCTGTTGGTTTTTGCGTTTTCTGTGGATTTATCGTCATCGTACTTTGTGTGAATGCAAGCGGAAGAGAGAGAGTGCGAAACTGCGAAGTCAAAGAAGCAGAAATGAAGTGCGGATTCGTCAACGTCTTTTTCTCAATCTTTGCCCATATTTCATGTTGTTAGAATTCGCGCAATTCGCACTTTGGCTGAATGCATTTTTTTTGGTTGATTGGTTGTAAGCTCGTGCTCACTTGTTATGTGTCAGTATTGAGCGATATTATTCTTAGCTCTTCCTCTCTTTGCTCTCGACAGCAACAAAAAAAAACCGAAAATCATCTCTAACTTAATCTCGACTTTTTTTCGGTTCGAACGCGAAAATGATCGCTCACGAAAAGAAATTCCACGCTTTCTAAAATTCTAAATGCGTCACAGAATTCATTGCACTTTGCCGCATTTCTTTTCTGGTTTTGCTGTTTTATGGTGCATGAATGAAGTGAACATATAGCCGTATCACGAATCGTAGAGAAATTTTACACGATCTGCATAATGTCAAAGCGACAAGAACGTGCATTGATTTAGCCGAACGGTGTGTTTTCACTTTGTAATTCAATGTCGGTTATTCCGAGCACAATTCGCAGAATATAGACTCGGTGCGTGCATGATATTTCAACACACGAACGTGGTTCTTTTTTTTCCATTGTTGTATTAGATGATGATGAGTTTGATAGTATGCGTTTGTGATAGAAAAAAAATGGATCCTCTGTTCGAAATAGACAACAAAAAAGCTCCTCATAAGCGCATAAACATTTCACAACACCTTTCTTCCCTATTCAACCAAAGTTCAATGAATCCACTGGAATGTGTTGTTTACATCTCTTAGAATACACACTCTATTTCCTTCTCATTTTCGATCGACTTCTCTATCTGTCTCTTGCTCTTTCTCTCTCTCTCACACTCTCTCTGTGTATAGCTTATATAAATAAATGAACCTTTTTTTTTTGTCGTAACAATTTACTAATTGAAATTTATTTGTTGATTTAAATTTGATTGCAGACGGAAGAAAACAATACACACTCAGTCACACTCAATCCGAACTGGCCTATCGACGATAAAAGCATGAATATTAGCATATGCATAAAGCGCAGCAAAAATCAACAGAATTGCATTGCGTCTGTACATTCGATACAACGATAAATAGAAAAACGAAAAGAAAAAAAAACGCATAAAATACAAGCAAAACTAAATCGCTGCAATACATCATCTCATTCGTCGTCGTCCGTGTCGTCATCGGTCCATCCGTCGTCGACAGTGACACGGCGACATCTTCTTTTGAAACGCGCGCGTAAAAAACCCGAACCACGAATTTATACCAATTTTCTGTTTATTCAAAAGAAACGCGCGCGCGTGCACCCACTACAGCGATTATATGCAATACAAATAATAAACTCTAGCCAACGAACATTTCTCTCTCATTCACTCGGCCAACCGTGCCACCACCCCATCACATATCAACATCTATGAAAAAAAGAGAAGAAAATACGCAGAGAGTATCAATTTGAAACTAAATTTGTTCGCTCCTTCTCTCGGTGTGTGTGTGTGTATGCAGCGCAAGATCAGTGCTCGTTCATTGTGTGTGTTTGTCTTGCCAGAGGGCATCAAAACTTGTTCACTTTGTTGATTAAAATTGTCTTATGCGAAACAATGCCCATGGGTGGGTGGATAGAAACAAATCGCTCTCACAACAATACAATGCAGTGCATCCAGTGTATGACGCTCTATTGCTGCTGACTAAAACACTGAACAATCTATATATATAAACAGAAAGAGAGAGAGAGAGAGAGAGAGAGAGAGAGAGAGAAGAGAAACACGAACGGCTTATCAAAACAAAAGAATTATTTGGCGCCAATACACAAACATTAATCTAAGTACAAGTTTTATGAAGAGAAACCAAAAGAAAAGAAACACACAGAGCAAGAATCTTAAAGCACACGCAAACACACACTTACCCGAGAAAAAAGAAAACGAATATTGATTGAGCACATTTAGAAGAAGAAAAAAAAACAAGAGCAAAGCCGGCAAGATGGCAATAAATTTTTCTGCCTCGTTTGCCGCATGCCTAGCGGCCGGCCTAAAGGTGCCCCGGCAAATTATGTATTGTATTTCACAAGATACTGCGCCATACGTTCTCTATAAAGATTCACAAGAGGCGGCGGCCGAACGCAATGCGTTAACCTCATCATCGGGACAATGGAGCGCAGATATGTATCCACATCAAAGCCAGTAAGTGAAAACACCAAGCCAAAAACAGAAAAAAAAACAAAAAAAAGATTATAACCGCATTCGATCCTCCCTCCAGCAACTCAAATAACCAATCGATGTTTTTTGAATATCTTAGAATGTAAAACAAAAATCACACACAACCAAACACAAAGATATCAGATCAAAAACATAGATAAAATGTATGATCAATTTTTGACTTGTGTCATGAACCCACACATAAATCTATTGTTTTGAGTATTATTTTCCTTTCATTATATTTTGGATTAATTTCATTTTGATTCAGCTTCATTTTCTATTTTTCTTTCGGTTTGATTTTTTTTTCCTAAACCCAACACACATACACACAAAAAGAAACATCCATCAGAACAATTAACATTTAATACGACACACATATCGTTTTCCTTCAAATTGCCATTGAACTTTATATGCATTCACTGACAAAAAGAAATGTTTCTCTCTTTCGTCTCAAAACAAACCCGATCTACAGCAATAATCAGCATCAACAGCTACCGCCACAGCACACGGCACCACCAACTAGCCCGAGGGACGAATCGCAACAACAGCAACAAAACGAAAGTAGTCATCGTAATTTACCGTCACCAGCAGTCGCTGCTGCTGCCGCCGCCGCCGCTGCAGCCGCTGCACACCCACAACAAACCAATGCCAATCAAGATATGGACGAAGATGTCGCCATAAATCAGGTTCGTTACATTTTCGGTTTTTGGCTTTTCCAACAATTCTGTTCAAGTATAGAAGAACTGATTTTCGGCGGGAGATGGGTTGTCTTTTTTCGTGGATTGACTCCTATTAATCTCGATTTCCCTTTCATTTTGATCCAACTTATTAAATGCAATGTAGATTCACTTGAATCTTTTTCGGCTTATTTTGTTCTTTGCTCTTACAATTTGAATTGTTCGATAATAATGAAGAACAAAATTTCGTTTGAACAATTTTTTTTTTCGTTCAGGTGAACTCGTTGCATCAGCAGCATCAGAACCAAAATGTTACACAAAACGGCCAACAGCAGCAGCAGCAACAACAATCAAACCAACAATCTTCGCCCGAACAAAATATCGATATGTCCGCCGATCAAAATCAACAGAATAGCCAACAGCAAAGCAACACGTCAAACAGTCAACCAATTCGAAAGTAAAAGAAAAAAACGCAATGCCCACATTTTTCTCTCTCACTCTCAATCTCTTTCGTTTGTTTCGATTTCATTGAACTTACAGAATGTACAACACAACAATGATCGTCGTCTCAATCGCCTGAATGACACTAGACACACGATGCGATTGTAAATTTGTATGAATCGCACATTTTCGGCGAAAATGTTCATGGTTTGTGCGAGCGTGCGTGCGTGCATGTGGGCGTTTGTTGACGATACAAATTGTTGCCATGAGTGTTCTGTAGGTTTTATCTTGTGTCCAAATGGATTCACTAACCTTTTTTTTGTTTTGGTTTTCTTTCTTTCTCGTTTTATGTTTTCCCATTGCAGCGATGGAGTTCAATGCTTTGATGCGTCACAAGCCGAGCTCAACTATTATCGGCATCCTGGCCAAGCAATGTTGGCGCCGCACGGATTTCCGCCCTTACATTACTTGAACAAACCGTTGCCCGGTCTGAGTATGGAGCAAGCTCAACAGGCGCTTGAACAATATAATCAAGGCATACCCGATCTATTGCCCGGCCATAATATGCATCAAACATCACCGTCGCCCGGTTCCATCAAATCCAAAGGCTCCGATTTGCGGCTATTCAAATGCCTGACCTGCGGAAAAGACTTCAAACAAAAGAGCACGCTGCTGCAGCATGAGCGCATCCACACCGATACACGTCCATACGGATGCCCGGAGTGTGGGAAACGATTCCGTCAACAAAGCCATTTGACTCAACATCTTCGGATTCATGCGAACGAAAAACCATATTCGTGTGCGTATTGTCCCCGAAGCTTTCGACAACGTGCAATTTTAAATCAGCATCTACGCATCCACTCGGGTGAGAAGCCGTTTACGTGTCACGAGTGCGGCAAACACTTTCGCCAGAAAGCAATCCTCAATCAGCATGTGCGAACGCATCAAGGCGAGCAACACAGTTATTGACCGCTACTTTTACACTTTCTGTTGTTGATTTGATCTGATTGTTTGTGACCAAAAAAAAATAGCGATGAGAGAAGAAAAAAAAAAACGAATGACAACGAGAGAGAACCAAACAGTGTTTTTAGACGTTTTCCTGAAAATGAACCAACTTTTTTTCTGTTCGAAGCCAAACGATTCAGAATTTTTCTATCTCGAAATTCTCAATACACTATTTTCACTTATACACGTCGTTTTCAACCTTTAAATTCCTCAAATTGGCTTGATATTGATTTTTTAGATTTACTTTTGGATTTCACAACGAATTTCTGAAAAAGAGATTAAGATTTCTTTGACTTCCATTTAACGATCTAAAGTGAAAAGTTTGGCCGCAGCTCAAAGCTTGAAGATCAATTCAGAGTCACTAAAAAACGAAGTTCCCATCACTTATTTTCACCTATATATTCTTCATGAACAACGTCTCTGATCAAATTTGCATCAGTTTACAACACATTTTTTTTTCAATTTAACTCACTTTCCGTATTTTCACTTCGCAAATGCGAATCGTTTGCAAAATCGTGATCATATCCACATATTGATCCATAACACAATTCACAATCATTCATTTCGTTTGCGCACGTATTTTTTGGTAAATGCTTTCTGTTCTTCAATTATTCCTCTGTTCAGCGCGCGAATACGTTCTCTCTTGTGTGACCACCGTAGATGGAATTTCGCTCCATTTTTCCAAGAGCTGATATGCAAAAAAAAAGATATGAAAAGTATCTGTCTGATAAAAAAGACCCGAATATTCCATTAGAAAAAAGACTCCATTCAATTCAAATTCAACACCATAATCGACCAAAAAAACTCCCTTCCCCCACGAGAAAAATTCTCAATCAAAAGTTTATCACGGAAAATTTTTGTTGATTTAATTCGATTGAAATATACCTAGAAATAGCCGTTTAATGAGAAAGAAAAAAAAACAGAACCAAAATTGTGATATATTTTCTCACTTACTGGCTGATCGTCTGAGCCTAACCAAAGAATTTTTTGTGTTTTTTTTTTGTTTCTGCCCGAACATTTTTACAGACATTTCGCCACATCTTGTGTTTAAGCGGTACAGTGGAACACATGCAACACTGTGGCCATTCGATTTGCCATTTCCCGGTGATTGCCATGATGGTGACGATGGTGAAACGAAACCATTGCCATCGCACACGGCACACAATGAACAAAATAATGCAAACAATGGCAATGATGTGCAGCACAAAGACAAACATAATAAAAAAACACACGAAAATAATGGTTATGCCTACGACGATAGCACTCACGATACGGCCGAATCAAGAGCATGTTTTTCTATTCAAGGTGGTGCCGGTGCCGGTCTACAGTATCCTGCCTATTTCAAAGATGCAAAGGGCAACAATCATTCGGTGTTTGGCGGCAATTTGGGTTCGTTGCAGTATTTAAAACCGGGCCAAAAGGGAATGCTGCCCGATGTATTGCAACAGGGTCGAAATGCTGGCATGCCATTATACGTACGCTGTCCCATTTGCCAAAAAGAATTCAAACAAAAGAGTACGCTTCTGCAGCACGGTTGCATTCACATTGAATCGAGGCCGTACGTATCCACTTTACCTCTTTCCTGCTTTTTCATCGTGTTTTTTTCGCCAATTTTCACACATTTCTTTCGGTTTTTTTGTTTTGGGCAAATTGCAATGCTTCGCTATTGTAGGTACCCCTGTCCTGAATGTGGCAAACGATTCCGACAGCAATCCCATCTGACACAACATTTACGAATACACACAAATGAGAAACCGTAAGTCAAGCCTTTCTTCATGCTGATTTTATCGCGCAAAATGGATGCAATAATTGATTTCTATTTGCCTAATGTATTCTTCATCGCCTCTTAGATACGGATGCATATATTGTCCGCGCTTCTTCCGACAGAGAACCATTTTGAATCAGGTAAAATACGTTCGATTGTTTTTTTTTGTTGGTTTTTTTTTAAATTTAACCCAAAATTTAAAATAAACTAAATGTCAATCGAAATGTCATCATGCGCAGCACATACGTATCCACACTGGCGAGAAACCATACAAATGTGGCCAATGTGGCAAAGATTTTCGGCAGAAGGCAATCCTCGATCAGCACACCAGGACTCACCAGGTAGTTGTTTTCAAAGCCGTCTCGAACATTCAACCGCGCATTTAACGCTCATTATGATTCGATTGAAAATACAAATCAAATATCTGTTTTTTCCCATTTCAATTTCGAGAAGGGTGATCGTCCGTTCTGCTGCCCGATGCCCAACTGTAGGCGACGCTTTGCAACAGAGCCAGATGTCAAAAAGCACATAGACAACCATATGAATCCACATTCATCCAAATCGCGTCGAAATCAAATGAATAATGCAGCCGCTGCGGCTGCTGTAAATGCGGCGGCCGCTGCAGCCGTTTCGATGCCAGCACCCATTGACGGCACAAAAACACCGTTCCAACTGTCAATGGACAAACAGAACAATTTAATACCACGCATGAATCCATCGATCAAACATGAACTCTACTTCCCGCAATGCTATGCCCCGCCGTTTGGCAATCAATTTGGCGCTCAGCAACAGGCACACAGCAGCAGCGTTGGAACGACGAACAATTCATCGGTAATTTTGTAAAAATTTAATTTTTCTTCGTTCAATTTCATTTTTTTTTCTCAAAAAATGTACAAAATGAAATAAACTTAAAAGTTAAAGAGAGCTTCCTCTCATTCTTTCCGTTGCTTTTTCCATTGGAAATCACTTTTATACCAAATTCCGCTCAACAAAGTGTCAACAATTTCAGTTTGATCCAAAAGTGTTGACAATTTGTTTATAGTTTCGTGTGGTATTTTAACGATAATTTTCTTTCACAGGTACCTAATGCCAATACTTCGACAGCGACATCCTCAGCAATTCAACCGCCAGCCGTTGCGCAGTGACATACAACATTTGCTCCGCAGCACATGCCGTGATAAATACTATGCATCCATGCATCAAATTGAATTACAAAAGCCACCAAAACAAAAAAAGCAACAACAAAAACGGATGAAATATCTGGTTATGTGTCGTATATACCGAGGAGAGTATAAACAGTTGAGAAAACAGATGAAAAATACACAGACAAACACACATAAATGAAAAGAGAAAAAAAAGAGTTGATGTGAAATGATGCGGATCTACTACAAGTTTCATTAGAAAATCATGCAACAATATTTAGATGTAGATGTTCTTTATATTAATACGCTCTTAAAATGATCAATATAATAATAGAAATCTATACAGATGGGGAGAGAAGAAAAAACAGAAAGGAAAGAGAAAGAGAGAGAGAGAGAGAGAGAAATATAAACACACACACACACACAAAATCGCAATTCATTGAATGGACGCGCTTGAAAATGTTTGTTTCTCAACGAGAAATTTTGATTTCATTCTTTTTCCGTTAAATTCAATTAAAACGAAAGAATAGCTTAATGTTTTCAAAGTACGTTTCACACTAAGCAACATCAAAAAAAATCGCAGTTCTTCACACATACACGAGGTGTGTGCTTTCGTTGGTGTCGACACAAAATGAAGTAAGCAAACGTTTCAACCGAAAAACAAAGGAAAAAATGATCTACGTCGTGCTGGCCATTTCCACATGATATGTGTTTTAGTTGTAATTGTCTTCCCCGATCCCCCATCACCACCCAAGATGAAATTACTGTATATTATAGCCATTTTTAATTCAAATCGCGCGTAATTCATTTAGACAAGTAAAACGAAAGAAAACGTGTTGCCATATTTTTGTTTCCTCTTCCGTTTTTTTTTTCTTGTATTCGTGACACAAAAAAAAATGCGAATTTTCATTTATGAGTGCAATAAAACCCAATATTAAATGATACAATTGCCATATTAGAAAATGCAGGGCGAGAAATAGGGACACAGAGAGAAATAGAGAGAGAGAGAGAGAGAGAGAGAGAGAGCGAGAGATAGCGAGGGAAAGAAAAAGGTCGGTGCAAAAAACGCTGAAGCGAAACGTATATGTGTTAATTTGTAGTTTGTTTCCATTTGCAAATCCATACGATCCAGAAAAATGAAATACGAGAGCTAACTTTTAAACAGAACGAAGCGAAAAAGGGAATATGTGTGCGAATTGTATGGAATATTGTGATACAGTGGCTAGATCGGTGCCATTCGGAATATGAATGCGAGACAAACAAAGAGAAAAATCTAAGATTTGTTTGCTTTTTTTCTGCACTTATTAGCTAAGTTTGTGATTTTTTTCGGTTCGACAGGCAGCTCTTGCCAATTGAGAAATCGTATAGAATTTCGTTTCGCCTTTATTTTCAGTCTTAATTAAATCGAACTTTTTTTTTACCGTGGTGCATTTCATTATGAAATTTTTATATACATATATTTGGAATTCGTTTTATTTCCTGGACATTTTTGTTTTGTTTCAATGAGTCGTCAACTTAAGTTAGTAAGACTGTTAGATTGCAACCGAAAACGACACACAAGTGAATATGCCAATTATATAGGAATAGACATAGAGGGTGGCCACAGCGCGGAGAGTGTGCTGATCAGAAATCGCAATCAGATGATTCTGTTTTGGCTTGAATTTTGATCGAAAGCGACTTTTTTTTTTCATATTTGTCTTGTGAACAGATGACACGCATTTCTTTTAATCGTAGTTAAGTTTCTTTTTGTTGTTAAAATACCGAATTTTTTAGTCATAATTAGCAATCAGAATATCAAACACCAATTTCACTTGGACGTTGGCTTTTTTTAGGGTATTCTATCTTTTTATTCTCTTTTATACATATTCATCTCGTGTGCAAAAAAAATAACAGTCGCTTAGGTGCGAACAAGAATCGTGAAGCAACTGAACCGTATATTCAACTGAATTGGGAACTATTTAAACGAATTTCTTTAGCTCGTAAGAATGAAACCAAGATTTTTAGCGATCGGAAATTTTAAGTTAGTCATGCTCATCAAGTTCTTTTTTTTTGTCTCCCGTTTTTAAGCTGCAATTCCACCGTAAACGAAATAATCATTTAGAAGAGAATATGTTTTCTTTTATATTTTACTTCTTAGATGATGTGCATTTCCTTTATCTCCTTCTCCCCCCCAAAGTGATTTTTTTATTTTAAATTTGAAATTTTTTTTTTTTAGAAAAAAAAAACTATTTTTGTTGATTTTTTTTTCTTTAATAAAACATTTGAATTTACTTCTGCTCCTTTTGTCTGTACGATGGCAAATTTGTAATCGATTTTATCAATTTTATAAAATTAAATTGTGATTTTTTGTTCTATTATTGATATTTAGAAAGAGAGAGATGGAGGGAAATAGAAAGAGCAAAGAAATTCGATCGAAACTTTTTAGATCGATTAATATAAAGAGAGAAAGAGAGAGAGAGAGAGAGAGAGAGATAAAGATTTCATTTTTAATTAAACATATAAGCAAATAACTACACGCAAGCATGCATCAACGCGTACGAAAAAAAAGCTGTCAATTGTGTGTGGAAAACGATGCGTGTTTTTGTTTTGTTTTTAATTGTGCAATGCAATGCGCGCTGCTAACAGAACCGAAGGCAATAGTCACGAGGACACAAAGAAGCAGATCGAATGAAATGCATTTTATTTGATTCAATTTTTGTTTTAGATAAATTTAGCAGCAACAGAAAGAAAAATATTGTAATACACGTATTAGATTTAGTTTAGCACGCACTCATAATCGATTCAGATAACAAAAATGATTTTAATATATTCAATAATGAATTTTTAGCCCTCTTTTTTTTCTCAATTTTTATTTTTCTTGATTTCTTTCTTCTTTTTGTTTTATTTCGCTGAAGTTGTTTTTTTTTCGATTTCTATGATTTTTCATGATTTTTTCTCTTTCGTTTGTGGATGTGGACCAAAATCGAAAATTCTTCCCCCAAAGCAGTAACGTAAGTAAGAAAAAGTGGAGCGAAATCGTTCTCCGAATGAACACGAATGAAAAATGGTTCTGCTGATTGTCCAACGGCGAAAGTGGTACTTTTCGAAAAAAAAGGTCAATCGAGATCAAATCCGGGTTGTTTCAGCGGTTTGTCTGAAATAATGCCGGCAAAAATCGTGCGCACAGTGTCCAATAGCCGCAGATTCAGTAGCATTTTACATTTCTTTCACATGTTTGTTTCAATTTGAATTGATTTCTTTTTTCAAATGCAATAATCGGCAGTAAATTAAGAGCAAGCGATTTTTAAAACACACTCACACAAAATAGCTATTACGTGGAATAACAATTTTATAGAGTGTTTACTTCAATATTGTATAATCGTATGAATTAACGAATGAGAAATATGATGATGTGGACGGCGAGGAAGACAATACGAAAGAGATAGCGATTCGACGATGGAATAGAAATGCGAAACCAAACCAGAGAGAGAGAGAGAGAGAGAGAGAGAGAGAGAGAGAGAGAGAGAGAGATAGATAGATAGGAAGAAGAGAACAAACACAGCCCCAAAAATGTAGTGTTTAAAGAAAAAAAAAACGGAACGAGAGTGCCTAGCTTAATCTAGCTATTTATGAAATTGAATTTAACACAAGATGATGAATGAACAGGAACATGAAGAGAAAGCGAAGTTGACAAGTAAAACAACAAAACGAGAGATGAGAAGATACATAAAGAAAAAAAAACTACAGCAATTTATCAGCGTTCATTTTACAGATCGAATTTTTGTTATTACATTTATAAATAGACACATGCAAATACAGCAAATCATAAACAGGAAATATGAAAAACACACAACAACACGATACAATTTGAACAATAGTTTTTTATTTTCGTTTTCATTTGGGCTAGCGATTTAATAATAACATAACAAAACGAAACAAAAACATCAAAAAAGAAACCAACCCCAATTTTAACACTCCCCACCAATGAATGCGCTTGTTTAACACATTTTTTTTGTTGACTAAACAAGACACGACAAAAAAAAGAAACAAATCCCAAAATCATAAAACGCAAAAAAAAAACAAAATTAATACAATGACCATGCAAACTGTTTCTCGTTCAAACCTTCCTTTTTGCACATGAAACTCATTTCGGCTTCGGAGCATTCTTGATGTTTGCATGATCCATAGCAAAAAAAAACAGAAACAAAACCAAATTCTTTTTATCAGCAAAGGAATTTTTCATTTTTCAACACATTTTAACACATACAAATGCAAATGAATGTACAAAGTGGTGCTATTTTTTACAATTAAACTCACACTCGCAAAGTACATACGCATCAATTCGTTGGCGCGAATCATATTTGGTATGGAGATCATAGGCAGATGATTGGATTTTTTTCTATCGACAACCTGCTTCTGTGAATTCTTTCGTCTTGTTTGTCGTCATTGATTGGAAGTTCACTTATGAAAAATGTAATGAAAAGCAAAGAAAGGCGAAGAAAAAAAGAAATAAAGAAAAATATCCTTTAAAACTCACGTTGAATCTTCGTTACCAATGCAAATGAACATGGTTGAGATTCTTTGCCCACATTTTCAAGCAATTATTCGAATTAAATCAGTTATTATACAGTTGGCAATCATCAATTGGGCCTTCTCCAACACTTATTGTTTCGAAAAAAAATTCTACCAAGTGCTCAAAAAATCAAACATTTTGTTATGCAATAAAGCACGCTTGGTAGAAAAAGGGTTGAGACAATTTCCTTTCTTCTTCAATTTTTTTTTTCTGATTTCAATGATCTCAATCCAATTCGATAATTGCTTCGAGTTCGAAACTGAAGGTTTTTGATTCTAAAGACTTTCGACTCCAATGGCTTTCGATTCGCCTGGTTTTCGATCCCAATCGCTTTGACTTCCTACAAATTTGATTCGCTCCAATGAAAATTCAAATCCATAAAACAAAGAGTTTTTTATATAATAAAACCAAACCGAAGAAGAAGAAGAGAGCAAATAGTACAGAACCGACTATACCAATTATTACATATTACTGAATTAGAAGAGAGAAAGACAGAGATGGACAGAAGCAAAACAATTTTACAATTGCAACACATAATTAAGAAGAATTTTTGTACGAATATTTTTTTATGTCAAAATGATGTTTCACACACATCATCATCAATCAACAACCAGAACAAGAACAACAACAGCAACAATTTGCAAAACACACAATAGCTAAGACAATTCTAATTATATACATACAACACAAGACAGTTACACACCCGATCGATCGCATCATATCATTTTGTGTTTTTTCCTTCAGTCAATTCACATCAACTTTAAACAAACACATTTCCAATAGAGAGAAGAAGCCTTATTGCTTTTTGTTTGTACCATAGATTTCATGCAACAGAATATTATTTAAACAATGTTTTTAAAACCGTATTTTATTGACAAATCATTGCTTTTCACTTAACACTTAAATATAGTGTCGTTGCAAGGGTGCAACATTGGCTATTTCATTCCCTCACAAAGAGGCAAATAAAATGGCTTGTCTTGCCCTCCACTCAACGAACGAACAAAGAGATAGAAATAAATCAATTCCGTCAATATACACATACATACACACAGAGACTCATAGTGCCCGCAATATCTTAAACGATTTTTTCCCCATTTCATTGTTGAATTCTGTAATCGTTCTGTTGTCTGTCCTGCAAGATTCCGTTGTTACAGCCAGATTTTTAATATCGGTACAATTGCATAAATAAGAGAGAACAAGAAATACACACAAATAGAGCATAAAGAAACAGTTTGTTATTTATATGAAATGAAGAATCAAGAAACACGTTGTTATTTTTTGATTAAAAAACACACACAGAGAAACAAAAACCATAGCACCGAATGAGAGATGAAATGGGATTTAAACAAATAAAAATAGAGTTATAGAGAACCAAATTGCTAGCCCAAAAAAACAAATACAGCAGTAATTGAGATAGCCCCAATTTGCCTAAACAACAACAACAACCCCTTTTTTTTAAACAGAGATTTAAATAAAAAAAAAACAATCCGTTTTTTTTCCATAGACAAGAAAAATACTAATTACAATACATAGACATATTAATTACAATTTTAATAGACCAAACTAAATCCTGTTGTTTGTACAATGTTACACAATTTTATTCCGCATAGCAAATGAATGGAAATCATTTATTGGACACAATTTTTTTCTCTTTTCAACTGCGAAAAGAAAAATCGATTGCGCGAATACATATAGCAACCGAATTCGCAGTAAAAAACCACAACAACAACAACAACCGAAAATCAACCAGAAGCGACAATAGATTTCAATGTTTTTTTTTCATTTTTATTACACAGTTACAAGATTACAATAGTATATTACAATAATGAAGATGATGATGATGGAGATGAAGAGGTGATGAAGAACGAAAATCAATCGGAAATGGAATGAAAGAATGGAAAATCACACAAAAATTCAATTTTATATTTGGACTGGAGGCCATGCGAAATTTCTAAGCGCCATACTCAGTACCGTACTGAGAATGCCGCACTGTTCTGATTGCAGCAAAGAAGATAAAAGAAATAAAACGAAGAAAAATATGATTTAGAATGGGAAGAAACAGAAAAATGACAAGAGAATTTACATATTATTGACAAAAATGAAGTGAAAATCGAATTATTATGACATACATGGCCCAAATCGATGGCATGTGAACCATATTAGATGATATAAATTGTAAGGAGATTATTTTTTCCATCGAAATATTTTATGTTCGGAATTATTTGTTTTCCAAATGATCCAGTCTTTTTTAGGTACGAACCTAAACATCAAATTATTTTCAAACTTTTCTCTATTCAAACGAATTGGTATATTTCCTATAGATTTTCGCTGGAATGTCTTTTTAATGACATTGTAATGCCTATTTGCAAGTACATTGGCCAAATTTACCTAGGTGATTCCCTTTTGGAATCCTTTTCCAAACTTCCAAAACAGTTAAACATTTCTTCTTCGAACATTTTTTATGGGTAATCAGATGTTTGGACAAAAACCCTTGTTGACTAGTTAGCCGTCATTTTGGAACATTTTGACTGGATTTTTGTACGTACTGTGATTGGAATCCCAATCGATTTCAATCCACTTTGAACAAATTCAATCCAGTTGACCGGTTTAGTCAGCCAAATGTATTGAACCATGGCTGACTAGTGATTGGAATTTCAAACATAGTACACACAAAATATAGTCAAAATTTCCCAAAATAGTTAGCGAATGCAATCACTAGTCACACATAAATTGAATGAAGAAAATTGATCAAGTGACTAAAATCGAGTCACCGTAGTCGAACGAATTTCATAAGGGATTGAATTAAATTCGATTTTAATTTGAAGTCAATTTTTTCAGGATTCAATTTCGAATCTACATTTTTCCAAAGATTTTTGAATTCATGATTAGTTTCAATTTCGGAATGACCACTTAGTAAGCTAATTTCGTTTTATTTCTCCAACATTTTGCAATCTATTTACCATGTACCAGAAGTTTGGCCAAAAATGATCATCTACCTTGGTAGCTACCAAAATGATTTGGTTTTAAATACAAAATGCATTTTATTTTAATGCAAATTTCATAATTATGATTTATTACCATTAAAAGAATCATTTCATCCGAGCTAAGAGCTCACATTTAAAAGGAAATCTCCTCTTCACATCCCGATTTGATATGAACCAATGAAATGAATTTCGATGTGGATATGATTCCAGAGTGGAGATTGAGTGACAAAAATGACGAAAGAGAGATTATAATTTCGATGAAAAAAATGTTTCCACGTAAACCAAAACAAAACAAAAATCAAACTCTCCAAAAAAATACACACGATTTGACTAAAAATGTTTCATCGCACAGATTTTGCTCGTTATTTGTGTAAATTTAAGCATTTTTTTTTTCAAATAATCAAGAACAATTGTAATAATCCATAAAAGAATATTTGTAAAGAATTTGTAAAAAAAAGAAAGCTCGCATTTCGGCAAGAGATTTAGTAAATTGTTTTTTTTTTTGTTTGTTCTGGGAAAATGTTTCGATTAAGCAACGGAATTAAGGCTAATCAATCGAATTTCGAAATTCGTTTTGAGACGCACACACACGCAAATGGGAGAAGAAGAAAAAATAATGGGGACGGACATCACACTTCGAGGTGTGGAAACACAGGGAAAACGTTGTGTGCAAAAATCGCGTTTATCATTTCAACCAAGAGAAAGAGACACAAAAAAATAGTCTGAAGCAAAATGGAAGGAAAGAATCGACAAAAATGAATGAAAAATGGAAAAAGTCGAAAAATTTCTAATCGTTAGTGTATAAGTGTAAGTCTTAACAAAAAAACAAAAGTAAGAAAAGAAAACTTTGTAATAAACAAAAAATGCTTGGCGAATGAGAGAAAAAATGAAACATGGTAATGAAAATGGATTTTGAGAGATCAAAAAGGGGCGTCGCGTAAAAAGCGTCTGTTTTCGTGAAACATTATTCCCGTCTCCCGTTTCGATTGATCTTGAATAAAAATTAGCGATGTAGAATTTAAATGCCCGATATGAAAAACGGTGAAAATTCAAAAGAAAGGTAGCGAACGAGCGATATAGAAACATCCACAAAAAAAATGAGCATGAAATTGAAAATTCACACACAACAAAAAATGTTCTTGTAAATATTTTAAGGCGAAAATACAACAAAAAAATTACTAACAATAAAATGAAAGAATATTGAGACAACAACAAAAAAAAAACCATACAAACAAATGCGCGTTTTAATATCGATTACGCCATCTAGCGTAAAGTGCAATTAAATTTAGGCATACTGCTTTCGTGAGGTCTTGCGAGTATTTTGTTTCTCTTCTCTTCAGCTGTTGTTGTTGAGAGTATAAATAGGCAGTCATTCAGATCACGCACTTACACCAAATAAAAAGAAACCATCATCAATACATTGAAAACGACGGCAATTGGTTGCACGCATGCCGTTGGTTTTCGCTTCATTTGAATTTTGTGTATGGAATGTTTCGTTCTCGATTCATTGCCATCATTACTGCTGGATAGCAGTGAGAACAAGTTCTTAACAAGCAGCACATTTGTCAAGTACACCAAAGGAATTTGAACTTCTAGTCCAGTGACCTCTCGTCAATTCAAGTGAACATGAATCGTCGTGCCAAAACGACAATTGTTGATCGATTTGGTGGCCGTCCACAAACCCGATGTGGCTACTGCAAACAATGTTCACAACGATATTCACACGGTAAGTAGATGCAGAAAAAAACACGTTGCAATGACAACAATCGGTGCCCTTCAAACAGCACTGCATTTCTAATGCAGCTCAATTCAAGAACAGAACATGCATAGAGCCACACAGAGCAAAAAAAATGTAAACAGTGGTCAAGGCAATTAGTACTGGCAATTTGTGTTTTTTTTTCTATTCGTTTGTTTCGCCCCCCTTCGTTTTGCCATTGCAACTATCATTTTGAGTGGAATGCAATCAAAGTCAATAAATCAAATGAAACAGCTGAACGAATTACTTAGTGTTATGAGTAATATTGGTGCTTTTATTCGGGTGTGTACTTGTGTGTGTGTGTGTGTGTGTGTGTGTGTGTGTGTTCGTGAATGAGTGTGTGGGTTGTGACTCAATGTGTTCACAATCGGTACTAAGATGACGTTTTGTGTGACAGTTGTTTACTCTAGTTTTCATATAGAAGTGGCCAAAACTATTTTTTGCTAATGTTTCTTTGCGTTAACCAACAATCTTACGACTGTACATAGTGAAAATATCAACGCATTGTCTATTGTTTAGATTTTTAATTTAGTCACGAGAAAATATCCGCGTTTTAATCATGAATTTTCACTAATCGAGCAGCACTATTTGGAACTAAAATCTTGAAATATTTCACCGTTTCGTTGAGAGTGTAAAAAATTCAACCAAATAATCGATTTTAATTGTCATCGCAAATATAAACAACGAACACTGATTAGATACAGTGGCAGATCATTTGTTTGCTATTTGATTTTTTCGATTGTAAGAAACTGGAACGATGTCACGTAAAGTGACTATTGTTAATTATTACGGCCCACAAAATGATTCACGTTGCGGTTATTGCTCTAATTCCAGCTCAAGCCAATCACACGGTAAAAATACCAATCGTACCACGTCGCATTTGAAATTCATCGCAAACTAAACACACACAAAATGTGACAACTCATTGTGAATAATTGTGCTTTGCTATTTTTGTTTGTTTACTTTTCGCTTTCGATAGGTATGTGGGCCCATTGTATGACAGCTGCTGATTATCAGGATTTGATTGACCGAGGTATAGTTCTTTCTTCTTATCAATTGTATGCCAACAACCTTTCGCATTCGTACATTAGATTTATGCTCATTTTTGTTGATCATTTTTTCAATAGGGTGGCGACGATCCGGTCAGTATTGCTACAAACCCAATAACGCAATCACTTGTTGCCCCTGCTATACCATCAAGTATGTTTACCTTCAATTTTTTTAAACTTAATTTGCTGTTTTCGAATGCAAAATTGTGTACGGTGTTTTGGAGATTTTGTCGATTTTTTATAGAAGATTCATTTGGAAAAATCCGTAAAATTGAAAAAAAAATACTTGAAAAAACGAGTGTCTTTCGAATTTGAGAAAATCGACTCCAGTTCGGTAGCGCAAAATTGAATGAATTTCGATTTATTCACGAACATATTTAAGATATTTGAAATTGTCCAGTGGACAATGTCTACCATTTTTTGTTAAACAATTTTCTCCATTTTAATTTCAACAATTGTTTTTTGTGTTCATTCATTCGTCCCGTAGATGTGATGCCAAAACATTTCAATTGTCGAAATCGCACAAAAAAAATCTCAAAAAGGTGAACAGCTATCTGCGAACGGGTCAAAAAGGCGGCGGCGGCGGTGCCGACAATCGAAGCATTAAAAGTGATGGCGACAATGATGTTCAAACTGATCACAACACTGATTGTGATATGAAAGTGGATGGGGAAGAACAGAAGCCAACGGAAGCGACCGAATCAAGTGCCTTAGCCGAAAGTAAAATGATAACCTCGAATCAACCCAAAGTATCGATTGATATAGATAATGTGCTAGATATTATTGAGAAGGCCGAAAATGGTCCAAAAGTCGAAGCAACGACCAGCAGCAGTTCAGCCAATACGGATGGTGGATCGGTACAAAAAAGTGATACGGGAACGTGTAGCAATAGAAAATCGAGTAATGAGTCAAATAAGCGTGGTTTGGTGGCCGGACCGGATCCGACCAAACCGCTACAACCGAAGGCGAAATTGCTGCGACAACAACGCAAAGCCGAAAAACAACAGGCCAAAGCAAATACCATGGCGACGGATACAAATGTGGTGACGCCGTCGGTTTCGGAAAAAATGCCGAAAAATATCCAAAAAGATTTGAAATCGTTGATCGATGAAATACCTGCGGATGGTGCACACAAATTGAAGGTATTGCCAATCGTTTTTCTAATCTAAACCAAATCATTTCCCTTTTTAAAAGTCAACTGAGTCCATATTACATTTCATTTTCAGGTAAAATTGGTTCCATCGCATGCCGGTTCCACTGAAGCCGCTCTGAACTTGTATCGGCGCTATCAAATTGGCATTCACAAAGATCCGCCCGAAAAAATTACGCGCAAAAGCTTTGAAAATTTTTTAGTTCGATCACCACTACAGGTTACTATCCAACTATTCAACCATCTAACCGAAGTTTTTTTTTCTCCTTTCATTCTTCATCTCTCTGTCGCGGGGTGGGACGCATTTACTTGCATTTCGAATCAATCCTGTTCGTTGTTGCTTTCCACACTTTTTGCCAAATGCACACCACATTAGCTTATTCTGGTCAATGTCGAGAGCGACGAATACAAACGCACCCAAAGCACTGAATTTGCATTGTATACCAAATATCAGACACAAATTCATCACGATCCACCAAATGATCTAAGCGAATTCCTAGATTTTCTATGCATTTCACCCATTAAGGTGAGCAATATTTTTTTTGTTTTTCTTGCTTATGTTTTGTTTTTGGCTTTTTTCGGTTTTTATTTTTTCCTGATGAATTTTGTGTGTTTCCGCCCAATCCATTTGTGTCAGACGTGGGCAAAAAGGTGGGTTTGGCTTTAACCTCGGATTTTTAAACGTTACAATCATGGTCTGGATCCAGTTCAATCTGAATTTGACAAATGCATTGAGTAAGGATTTCAAGTTCACCCACGTCTGACTTGTGTACTTATTCCCGCGATAAAGAAATGAAAGGATTGACGGTAGACTCGTGTTACATGAATAGAATTAGTGAAATTGTTGTTATATTTTCAAAACAGCATGAGACACCAGACGATGGGCCAACATGTGGATATGGTTCGTTTCACCAACAATATTGGCTCGACGACAAACTGATTGCCGTTGGTGTCATCGATATTCTACCGAAATGCGTGAGCTCCGTTTATTTCTTCTACGATCCAGGTGAGAGAATAAAATTTGCATTAGCTAGTTTCTTTCATTTTTCTCCTGCAATTTCATTTATGCCTCAGAAGAAAAAAAAGTGATGATATCACTGTGGAATATTTTTTTTTTCAATTTATTTCAACATTCAAAAAAAAAATCTCAAAAGTAGACCAATTAAAAATCGATTCTATCCCATATAGAGTATAGTTTTTTAACGCTCGGAACCTACGGAACATTGCGTGAAGTGCAGTTTGTGAGGGAATTGAATGAATCGACAGCTGAGTTAAGCGAATACTATATGGGATTTTACATACACAGTTGTCCGAAGATGCGATACAAGGGAAAATTACATCCGTCGTATTTATTATGCCCGGAGACGTATACGTGGCATCTGATCAATGATGGTAAATTAGTCGCTCCATCAATTTTTTACCGCAATATTTTGTTCAATTGATTTTTTAAAATTTGTTGTTTAGTTTTTCAAAAAGATATATATATATATTTTTTTTTCAATTTTCTATTTGTTTTAAATTTGTTGTTTCCCTTCTTGTCAAATGGTTACTATCGAATCATTTTTCATTTAATTTTTTAAGACGGGGAATTTTTTTTAAACTCGTTTGTTTTTCTTCTTCTGAATGTAGATATACTCAAGTTATTAGATGAATCGAAATACTCGCGCTTTAATTTGGATCCGCAGGCCAGTGATCTCAACGAATTTAATCCGGCCACTGATTTGAATCATTTGCGATTGCTTGTTGATTACAAATACTGTTTAACGTACAGAGACTATAAGGAGGTATTTTTTTTTCATTTTATGGAGATAAGCGAAGTCATTTTCAATGGGTTTCATTTTTTTGTTCAATTGATTTTCATCCAATTATAGTATAAAGGAACTGAGGGAACGGACAGTGACGAAGATGATTTCGATAACTTCAGTGAATATGGCAAGCTGGTGGGCAAGGTGCTATCCCGTCGTTTGTATTTGGTCACATAAAACACTGAATGGATTCAAGCGCATTTAATGCTGCGCTCTCTCCCAGCATTTTTTCATATATTTTTGGTCTGTGCCATTCACCAATTGAATGCACCATTTACTGATACATCAACCGCAATATTTTGTTCAAAAATACCTCTCAATCTATTTATGAAAGAAAAAAAAACATTTTTAAAATCTTGTTATGCTCTTAACTCAATTACAACCATGATGCATACATTGTCCAGAAAACAGGATATTTTTCGATTCATAAACCATGCAAATGGCAAAATATATAAACAAAATAAATCAATAGTACAGAAGTAAAATTAATCCGACTCCAAAATCCATTGAACAGCATTAAAAAATAAAGTATTTTCTTTTCTCTGGAAAAAAATGGGTCTGTGTTTTTCGAAAATCAAATTCAAGTATAATGAAACTGAATATATTGAAGGTTGTTCGATGATAAATTGAATTCGTTATTTGAAAATGCAATTTTATCAAACAATAAGGTACGAACAGTGTCTTAATTTTATTATACAAAGCTAAGAAGAAACCATCTGTGAATATACCGCAAGCAACTGTGTTCAACTGAATTTCTGTAGTGGAAGTCACATCGCCCCGGACGGACAGCATACTCTAATGTAATAGAAAAACATGCAATCTGTGAAGCATGCTATCCGTCCAGGGTGTTTTGACCGCCATCCAATTTCTGCATTTAAATTTCATTGTTGGCCACAATTGTACTTTGAAAATACTGCTGAAGTTATGCTGCTGATGAACAATGTTAAAGTAGATTGGTTGCCTTGTTCGTTTTTTCATAACCGGAGTGTTTACACCCATACTCATACCCGTATACATACACAAATACAATTTTAGTCCATCTTCTCACATCTGTGTGCTTGGCTTGACAGCGCTACCTCGAAGCATTTCGTCGTACTTAATCGGAGTACAATTGACGTTTTCGAAAACCTAACCGTGTCTAATGTTATGTTTTTGTTACACATTGTTAGGAAATTGTGCTGCACAATAGTATTTGATTTTGCTGTAGCTAAAATATCTACTAAATAAGAAGAAAAGAACATATTTCATCGGGGAAAATGAGTCGAATTCCAACATTTGTAAGACAATGGTTTTGCTTGCTGATCTAAATTTGTTGCTAATAATTTATTTGTTGCATTCAAACAGAATATCCATGACAGCCTGTGTGAAAAGACCGGTTTGAGCGCCAAATGGGTGAACGGTTCAGAATTGTCGGTGTACGCATTCAACGAAAAAAGATTGTAAGTAATCAAAAGGTCTTCGTTTCTGTTTCTCTCACCGATCATACAGTCAAAATGTCACAGAAAACTGATTGAAAATGATTTCAATGGCTTTTTATTGCATAAAAGCGAAAAATTGTTAACAAAAATTCCAAATGTCTTTTCAGTAATTCAGCCGATAGACCAAGTGAATATGCGAATAAGTACCCGGTAAATATTCACCATTTGAAAACAAAGTTCATATTTGATGAGCCAATTTTGCGTGGATTTTTGGCCGAAGCAAACAGTATCTTCCAGGACGTTCAATCAAAATCGAATGCTACACAGAAAGATTTCTTGAAAATTTCCCATGCCTATCGAAGCATATTGCGTGGTTGTTTGGAAAAGTTACAAAAAGAAGTGGATATCGATGCTGTATACAAGGACTACACGACCATTTTCTACTCCATTGAATGCATTTGGCATTTGTGTGAAATATTCCTGATCGATCCGTCACCATCAAATCATCCGGTGCCACATTTGATTGAATGGATTCGATTCCATTTCCCGGAGGCCGAACAGAGGGCGACTTCGTTGCTCTTTACAAATCGTGGCGATGAACCAAACAAAGAGTACTTACAAGTGGTGAAATCATTGATTACACAAGGCCATTTGGAAGTAGCTCGAGCCATTTTGCAACTGTACAAACGGACCAATTTCAATGCATGCCTGCAAATGACTGAGGAAATTCTGCGGCTTGTTCCGATTTTCAATGTCGGTGGTGGACTGTCGATTCAAAATTGGCGATCGCAATGGCAATACTGGTTGGCCGACACCGAAGCAAAGATACAAATGGGATGCTTTGAATCCGAGCCAGAGCTCAAAGAGATTGTCGAACTGGTCACCGGTAATGAGGCTGCTTGGAATAAAGTGGCCAGCCAATCGTCCTGTTGGTATGAACATTTCCCGGGCTATTTGTTTTATACACATCCAAACTGCACATACTATGAGCTTAACACACTGGCCGAAAAATGGTTGAACCAATGGTCATTCGAACGACACTGTTCCGTGAACGATGATGACAACAATTTAAAGCATTTGGATCGCATTGTACTGAAAATAATGCAAAACGATTTCCATCAAGTATTACGTGACATTCAAAATGTGTTCGATCAATGGTTTGCCACTCATTTGACCGATTTGCTTTGGCATAGCGGCAAATTGAACATGTTCAATGATGAAACGAACGAGTAAGTATAGCTACAGCTTTTGTGGTAGCCAAATCATGTATGATCTTGGTATTTAATTGTGATTTTTTCTCTAGATTTGGTTTGAGTCTCCGAGAATCGCTTTTATTCGACTTTGGAGCAATGTTAATGTCAAAGGAGTCGTTCTGGGTGTTTGGCATCGATTATTTGGAACAGTGCGGAACGGTCGGTAATGGTGCGATCGAAATGTTCATCTCAAAAATGAATATCAAGAATGAAAAGAATGCACTGAAGCTGTTGAATGTGATTCGAAGCAAAAGACTTATTGAAGCTGGTACATTATACTTTTATTTCTCTATTTCTTTCACATTCTCTCTCTCTCTCTCCCACACATACTTACATTGGATGTGTGAATATTCTCGATACAATTTCCAATCACTTTACAATCTATCCTTTGTCATTTTCCGAATAGAAAAAGAGCTGTGCCGAGTTCAAGCACGGAAAAGTTTCAACAATGGTCGTTACGGCAATGCACTCGACTGGGCTCTGCGTTCGCAAGACAACCTTTACGTCACAGCCATTGCCGATCTCTTTCTGCTTGTAAGTAGAGCACAGAGCACTGCTAATTCATTTAGAAATTGTCCAATCATAATTTTTCACTTTATGCAGCACTATACAAAGACTGGGGAGTTACTATGCGAAGATGCCATACAAAATGTTGGCGCTAAAATGTTTATTTCACCACGATTGGTGTTCCTGGTGAAGTATTGCGACTTTCAAATTTATCATCGAACCAAACAATATGCAGCCGCCACTGAATTGTTGATAAATTTGCTTGATTCGAAGATTGCACCGGCTTACTTCTGGCCATCAATGTTTGCTGATACATTCTCATTGCTTGAGGCGGCCGATCCAAAGAAACACACAAAATCATGCACTATTTGGAAAACAATTTGTTACCGCTGTTGGAGAATTTGAAAAAGACATCGAATAATGAAACAAAGAGCAGCACCATCGCTGAATGGGAACCTCTGCTATCGAGAGCATCCAATCTACAGAAATTGAACGCAACAATGCACAGACTTCATTTGTTGCTAACATTGAATTTATGGTTAAAATCATACGCTTTGCTCGCATTCGCTGTCTAACTGTAGCTCTTTGATCTTTGTGAAAAATAAATTCAAATAATTTTCTTTTTTAAATATATCTTCGTTTTTTGTGTTTATCGTATTCGGTCAATGGCATTTTACAGGGGATAACTAGACATTTTTTGCAAAGGAAACTTGAACTTATAAAGTATGCCAATTATTATGATCCAAAAGGGGTTTTGGATCATACAGTCATTGGATTATCACGACTTAATAGATTTTATTTCCTCACATATCGCCCAAAACTGAAATTAACTTGAATAAAACAGCAAATTGATTTAATGCCATTTCAACTGTGTATTTGTTTCTTTTATTGCTCGGAACTAAAATATTGAATACGATTCTCTCGAAATCAATTTAATTACCCTGTTTGACAATTTCTATGCAATAAAGATACAAATGGAAGAAAATAATTCTATGTTGACGTTTTGATTTGTCTGTCTTTCGTTTGGGTTGGAATGAAAATGTGGCAGTTAGATTGTATGAGTGTTTAGATTGGATTTCCGTTTTTTACGTCGTCGCCCAGAAATCCACATTTTAAATAGACATGTCGAAATTTTCTGAAAATAAATAGAAAAAAGATACCAATTCATTAGAACTGAGGGGGATTTGATCGGATGCGGAAACCATTTTCGAAACAACATTTTGATAATCAAAACAAATGCCTCGATTCAATTAACTTACCCGTTCATACGCAAATATGCATCAAAAGCATCTTGCTTTTCTCGGTACAGGAATTGTGCACGGAATCCATTGTTTGCACCTGGAGCAGTTCCACCGCTGAAACTTCTCCAATCGGCAGGACCGAATCCAATGTCTCTCCCGTCAGCTTCCCAGGTGACCAATGTTATTGTGTCTGGATCGTTTAAATTGTTGACTTTTCGGAAGAACTCATCTTTGCTCATAAGAATATATCTAGTATTTTGATTGGCCATGGTTTTTATTATTATTATTCAAATTTGGATTGAAGTGAGCTATAGCAAATCGAATTTTTTTATTGGTTAGGTTAATCAAACGTTTTTCAATGATCTGTCACTTTTTTTGGAAGAAATCACGCCAGCACGACTCATCTCACGATAGCATGGCATTTCAAATTTGAAGGATAGGTTTCATTCTTAACCAAGTAATGAATTCCATCATGAATCAAAATGAAATTGAGCTCACAAAAATGAGACTATTTTACATCATTTTGGAAATACATTTCAGCGCTAATTTCGATTTAATAATTTGGAATTCTTATTCCTTTATGTGGCGTATTCAAGAAGGCGCCAATTTCAAATCAGTGG